CTGGTGAATCCTCTCACCCCCTGCACATCTGTCTACACCCCAGTTCGTGTATGCATAAATAAATAAAGTCAAACTTGAAAAAAAAAAAGTGTGAGGGAGAACTAAGATAACTCCCGAACTAACTACCCTTTACAGACATGAACTTGAATTACTGGCTATAAAGAGGCCTGCCACTCCAGATGGAGAGATGACATGCCACCTGGAGCTAAGATCCCTGTGTCAGAGACCACAGCGCTCATCAGTATCAATGTTCTTTTATTTTTTAGATTTAATTTTATTTGTGCATACAAGAACTGGGGTACAGGCCAGAGGTGCAGGGGGGGGGTGAGAGGACTCACCAGACAGAGCGGGGAGCAGAAAAGGCTGATTGACTGAAATACACTGCTGAGGGGAGCAGCGGGGGAGACAGGAGAGGTCTGCTGCGCCATGTGGGTAGCTCCCTGGCCGTGGATCGAACTTAGACCGAAATGGTGATTGTGCTGAGACTTAACCCCTAGGTCAGGGAGGTCCAGTGTCAGTGTTCTCTTCCTGACATATAGCTCCGTGGCCTGGCCCTCACTGCAGTGAGAAGCCACACAGATTTGATGGTGGGCTACCCTCTCGTACTCTCTTGCTGGGCTCTAATTCTCACCCATGGTAACTGATTCATTAACACCCCAATCAGTGTGTGAGGCTCCCCTCCAGGTCCGAATTGTGGGTCATAAGGTCATTATGCTCTTGAATTTCAGGCCTCATTTCTATGGCCGCCCTGGAAATTAATATGACCACATTTACAGTAAAATGAATAGATCAACTTTGTCCAACTCTGACCAAGAGTTAACACATATCAGATTAAGAACATAGAGTTTATTACTTAAAAGAATGTAAATTATTTCTTGTCTGGGAGAGAAATTCATTGTTTCAGGACACTTGACTAAGTCTCTGAGTTTTGTTGGGGCTTATCTGTTCTGGTTACTTGAGCAGGCAGGCACCTAAGGCCTCTAAGAATGAGGCCTTTAACTTGCCAAACAATGGAACAGCATTAGAGTGAAACACTTATGCACATTCACAATTAAAAGGTGTGACACACTTCAATACTAGTTACTTTTTTTTTGGCGACAACTCATACAATGAATAGATGGGAAACTTCACTTGCAAACTTGCAAAGTTATTTTTATCTTTTTTTTTTTTCTCTCCACTGCAAGCCTTTTGTTTTTGTTTTATGCATACAGAAGCTGGAGTGTAGGACCTCCCTGGTGGTGCAAGGGATTAAGATGCAACCTATGAAGCTATCCGCAGTCACGGCAGCCCAAGTTCGATCACCGGCCAGGGAGTTGACACACATGGTGCAGCAGACCTCTCCTGTCTTGCCCGCTGCTCCCCTCAGCAGTGTATTTCATTCAATCTGCCTGTTCTGCTCCCCACTCTGTCTCTGGTGAGTCCTCTCATCCCCCACACCTCTGACTTGTACCCCAGTTTTTTTTAATTATTTATTTATAGAAGCACGGGAGGGTGAGAGAATTCACCAAAGTCAGAGCGGAGAGCAGAGCAGGCAGACTGACGTACACTGCTGAGGGGAGCAGCGGGCGGCAGGTGAGGTCCGCTCGCCATGTGGGACCCTCACCCGGTGGCCAGGGATCAAACCGGCACTGCAGAGGCTTCGGGCAGCTTCACAACCCAGCACTCAACCGGGGAGGCCCTGTACCCCAGTTCTTATATGCATAAATAAATAAATCTTAAAAAAAAAAAGGCAGGGATCTCCCAAGTGGCACAAGGGGTTAAGTACCACACTATGAAGCAATCTGCAGCCTCTGCAGCATGAGTTCTATCCCCGGCTGGCCAGGGAGCAATCCACATGGTCCAGTAGACCTCTCCTGCCTCGCCCGCTGCTCCTCTCAGCAGTGTATTTCAGTCTGCCTGTTCTGTTTCCCACTCTGTCTCTGATGAATCCTCTCATCCCCACCCCCCCACCCCCAACTCTGGCCTGTACTCCAGCTCTTGTATGCGTAAACAAACAGATCTTTAAAAAAAAAACAAAAACCGGGCCTCCCCGGTGGCGCAGCGGTTGAGCTGCCCGCAGTCTCTGCAGTGCCGGTTCAATCCCTGGCTGCTCCCCGGCCACTAAAGGAGGGTCCCACATGGAGCGCAGACCTCTCCTGCTGCCCGCTGCTCCCCTCAGCAGTGTACTTCAGTCCTTCTGCCTGCTCTGCTCCCCGCTCTGGCTCTGGTGAATTCTCTCACCCTCCCACGCTTCTGACTGTACCCAATGCATGTATAAACAAAACAAACAAACAAACAAATAAAACATGCCTCTATCAAATAAATAAATAAATAAACCCCCCCCAAAAAAAACAGCAGTGTGTGGACATTGGCGTGGAGCAGAATTCTCAATGCCAGAATTTTAAGACTCAGAAGCAGTATCATCACAGTCACTGGAATGGATGGTACAACCAATGCGGAGGAGGAGGCAAGGAACCCAGAGACCACATTGGCCTGGACAAAACAGGACAGTCTCCCACACCACAGAAAGCTCCCGGATCAAGGAGTCCAGAGAACCATTCCACACACCTGCCCTACAAGAGTTTCCTGAACTACTCTGCCTTGCTACCTGCCTCACAGCTGCACCTGGGGATTAGAGCAACCTGGTCTGCTATAGTCCTTGCCCAGGAAAATAACAAGATTCCAGGAAAAAAACAAGGCCAGTGGGCCAACCATTGATCTACATCTTGCAGCAGGGAGGAGTAGGGGTAATCGGAGAGGGGGAAGAGACACTGGGGTGATGTGCAGGTGCATTATTGGTGGGAGGGCCACACCTAAGGGGAGCAATAACTATGGCAAGATACCCATGATGTAAGAAAATAATTTTTATAAATTTGGCAGTGTGCAGAACAGCAAAGTATTGGCCTGGGCTGGGAAAACAGGCCAATTCACAATGGGAAATACACCAAAGACACACCCGGGCAATTTGGAATGGTTGAGTTATGCATGAGATAATGAAAAACACATCTTCCAGGAGATGGCAATATAGACCAGATTCAATGCAATGGAAAAGGAGTCGATGTTAGTATAATCAATTACAACTGGAATTTGGCTATCAGACAGCGGGCCCTGGAGGAAAGCCACACACATCACAAGGGACGGCTATGGGGAGGTCCCACTATCAGTGACTGCCAGATTCCAGATCAGGGAGTCCTTCAGTAACAGATTTAGAAGGATAAGTGATGAGTGGGGCAAGCAAGGGCAGGATCATAGCTTTTGCCAGAGGAAAGGAGCTTTTATGAGCAAGACATGCCAAAAGGTCAGCTCCTTAGGAGGACAGCGGTGGCCGGACAGGTGTGCCAAGTCAGAAAGGCTTTTGGCATCCATCAAGCCTTTTCCCCGGTCCCTCACCACTAGAATTCTGGCCAGGTGCCAGAAGCCAGGGCTTGGAACTATCACCTCCACCTTTCCATTGACCAGACCCAGCCATTATCATAAGTGAATAGACTAGAATTGGTTTTGATCATGCTCACCAAGAATTATCTCACAACCCCAGACAGAAGCACAAATAACTGGGATTTTGGAGCTTCCCTGGTGGCGCAAGGGTTAGTTAAGACGCAGCACTAATGAAGCTATCTGCAGCCACTGCCGCATAATTTCAATCTAAGACTGGGGGGGGGGGGTGAATCCTCTCATCCCCCACCCCACCTTTGATCTTTTCCCCAGTTCTTGTATGCATACATAAGTCTTTTTAAAAAACCAAATAACTGGGGTGTTAACTATCTTTACTAAGCTATAAGGAAGGGTGGGGGAGAGAATGTGTTAACAAACCTGTAGCCAAAATGGGAGCATCACTCTTGCTTCACAGGTACCATTCAAGACATTGCTTGCAGAAATATTGGTTAGCTGTTCTAGAATTAAATGTCTATCGTGATTTCAGTTAACATAGCCCCTCTGATCTTCAGTTTCTCCATCTACAAAATGAGACTTTCAGGGTTAAATAATTATAACCTAGGGCCTCCCCGGTGGCGCAGCGGTTGAGCACTGGGTTGCGAAGCTGCCCGCGGCCTCTGCGGCGCCGGTTCGATCCCCGGCTGCTCCCCAGCCACCGGAGGAGGGTCCCACATGGCGCGCAGACCTCTCCTGCCGCCCGCTGCTCCCCTCAGCGGTGTGCTTCGGTCCTTCTGCCTGCTCTGCTCCCCGCTCTGGCTCTGGTGAATTCTCTCACCCTCCCGTGCTTCTGACTGTACCCAGTGCATGTATAAACAAAAACAAACAAACAAATAAATAAAAAAATAATAATAATAATTATAACCTATCACGTTAAGGTCTTTAAGGCTTAAACATAAGCAGCGTATGTTAACTGCATAAATGGCCACTATTAGTAAAATAGCCATAGGGTTTCATTCCCGTCTTTCAGTCACCTTAATTCTTTCTTTAACAAAGCAGGGAGCAAATAGATAGCCCTCGTTTCTATGAAGCTTCCAAGACTTGAAATTCACATACCAATATTTGCCTATTTGGGTAGGCACAAATTAACAGCAGCCCCAAATCTAGCTTAATTGCCTTAATTCAGTTTCACTTTTGAACTTTCTCTAACAAGACTGGACTGGGGGAGAGGGGGACGTGGCAGAGGATGTAGACAGGGTGGGGAAGGAGAGATCATCGTCCGCAAAATTCTCCACCATCCCCTGTGTAAGTAAAGATGGCACTCATCTGCTCAGCATCCAGGGCCATCACAAAGCCTGAGCGGGAGGGACAGTTCTTGGTGTGTTCCTTTTACACGTAACTTGCAAGAGCATATCCATCCACTTGGTAGATAACTGAGTGTTCCTGTCACCATGGCACTGCCAGGAGCACGACGTCACCTGGTGGATGCTACAGCAGCCAGGGCTGGGCCAAGAGGCAGGAGAGCTGGAGTCCAGGTTGTGTCACATGAAGTTGTGCCTCCGCCAATCTGGCCTTCAAAAAATTAAGTAGGAAAGGACAGGCTCACAAAAAATGGTACCTTCTCAAGAAACCCAGAAATAGGTGCCATCTACAGGGCTCTTCTCAGGTCAGGTATCCACCAGAACCACTCACCCTCACCATTCCCGTACCAATTGCCACCCCCTGCACCGCCATCTTGTGTCTTTTAGAGTGGAGGCCCTAATGCATCATGGAAATTAGGAGCAAGGTCCCATTGAAGTGTCACCTTGTTTCTGTCCCTAAGGGTAAAAAATTGCCTCCTTTGCACCTGTGTGACTCAGCTCCCTGGGAGCTAGAGCTCTCATGATGGAGATTGAGTCCCAGAAGGTCTGTGCATCCCAGCTCCCGGACCCAGAACACCCCGAGACACAGACACACTCGACTTTCAATAGAAGTTTCCTTTTATTTTGAAATTCAAACAGAAATGAAGTGGTTTGTGGTTGAAACAACCTTCCCGGGAAAAAAAGCTGGAGTGCTCATCCAGCAAAAGAAACTCCCGAAGTCGGAGCCAGCCGCCCGCCTCCCCCAGACAGCAGACTGGAGTGAGGGGACATTGACACCGAGTGGTGGCGGCTGGAGGATTTCCAGCAAAGTACAATTTTCAAAGTGGCTGCAATTACAGAAGGGGGCATATAGCATCATCACAAGCCCCTCACCCCCACCACAATTCCCGTTCATAAAAATAACATTTTTCCCTGTCCTGAGAGTACTTGACAACTCAGGACTGAAGACCACCTGCTTTGCCTCAGGGGAGGGGAATGCATTTGACTTGTGCTGGCTTCTGAGACCAGGATCAAGATGCTGGAGAAAGGGGAGAATGCAAATGGTGGTAGAGTTAATTTATTCCTTAGGCTAACTCATTATCTGCTGAAATTCATTTTGAACACCTTTACACAGATGAGGGTTATATAAAACGAACACAGGAACGTTATAGGTGGCCCCCAGCTCCCTAAAAAGGGGAACAGTGAGTCAAGACTTAACATCCCGACACAAAGCCTTACTTCTTGGTAAGGGTGACTGAAGTCCCCTGGCTGGAAGGTAGCGGGGCCTGAATGGGGCGAGGGTGGGGACAAGGCTGGGGCAGACTGTGAAAGCTGTACCTGTCTGAACAGCCCATTATCTTCAACAAGTGGAAAAAATCGCCCAAAAGTGAGACTTATTTATGGGGGAAAAAAAGAAAAGTTTGGGGAATTAAAACAATCCAGTGGTCACTGGAAAATGTCTCTTTTTTTTAATTTTTTTTTTTTTGGTTTTTAAAATTTTTTGGAAAGTATTTTTAAGGTAATATTTTTTTTTTTTTTCCTTTGGAAAAAGAAATCTTTTTCCCCCCCCTAACCTAAGCAAGTGGAGTTGCCACTACCTAATTTATCTCTATTGTCTTGCTAAGAGGTAGATAAAACAAAAGTGAAATGGGGCGTCTATGAGGAGGTCCAATAGAGGGTGGGGAGGGGCTGGGACCGCCCAGTGGAACTCCCCAACTACAAAGACAGCCTGAGAGGCGGAGGACCGACTCTCCCAGGACAAAGGTTCCTGCTCCACCTCTTCTACAGCCAACTGTGCCCATGAAGACTGAAAAAGGGGTACAGGGGAGGCAGAGCACCTCAAAACCCTGTTGAAGAGGTCTTAGATCTTGCTTCCTAAGATTTGACTTGGGGGCTGAGTGATGGATTCCAAGCCAACCCCCAGATTCACCTCCAGCCAGCCCCCTCTTCAGCCTCTGGTCCAACAACGATAGAGCAGGAGAGAGGGGGGCACGCTGGAGGGGAAGAAGTGAAACAAGGGATCCCACGGCAAGGAAGGCAGAAAGGGGGGAGACCTAATGGCCAGCCCTCCCAACCCAATCAGTATGAGTGGGGGATCAGGCCTGCCTGTTCCTCAAAGACAAACCTTCTGTGGCACAAGCCTCAACTCACTTCTCCTGGCCGGGTTCACACCCGCATGCACGAGTCCCGGGCCCTTGGTTCCAATCTTACTGTAAGGACTGAGGTAGTTAATCCATCTATACTCGTAGCATCCATCACTGTGGTTACTCAAAATGCATACTCCCAAGGAGCTTCCTGCTATTTCATTTCAGAAAAAAAAAACCTCTTTTGTCTTGTCAGTCCGGATTCAACCACACCAAAGCGCCGGGTATGGCGCCATCTAACTGTGCCCAAGGAGGTGCACAGGGCTGAGGGCCAAGGCCGGGCTCTGGCCCTCACCCTCGAGATACACCTTCGGTTATCAGGCCTCCTCCCAGTCCTGTACCGACAGAGAAGCCTTGCGTATCCAAAGGAAAGAATTCAGCTGGTGTTACTCTAAGTCTGAATACAAGAGAAATGTTCTGCATCTAAGTCATGCTGGAAGGGAAAGGCTTTCCATCCCCCGGCACTGATGAGGAATCTTCTTCCATCTTTCTGCAATTACTATGTCAGGCTGTGCTATTTTCCTTCTCCCAACAAACAGGTAAAACAGTTGCGCGGTGCGAATGTCAAAGCCACTAGGATCTCCCCATGAACACTGGGGGGAGGGGAGAGAAGGGAGACCCCCACCCCTGGATGAGCGAAGGGAGGAAAGGGTTGACGAGAGGAGCCAGCTTCCTACAAGCTCAGAAGCTCAGCAGTCCCTCGGGGCTCTGTGAGGTAGTTACACAGCACTGTGGTTCCCGGTTTGGCAGAGGGTATGTCTGAGGTGGGAGGAGGGGAAGGCACCCTTGAGAGTTAACTGAGGCCCCTCCTCGCTGCCGGTCTGCCAGGCCTGAAGGGAACTCGCGCGCTATCTCTGCAGTGGGAGCAGGGGACCAGTCCCACAGGGAGGAGCCCCAAACTTCCCCTCCTTCCCCAAAGTGCAACCAGGAGCCAACAGACCCCTTTCTCAGCTCCCTATCCCCTGGCCAAGTACACCCCAAGTCCCCCAGGAGCCTGGAAAGGAAGGGGACTTGTCTTTAAGCTCACGCTTTCCCCAGGGGCCTCCTCTCAGACAGCCCAAGTGTGTGGAGAAAGATGGCTATTGCTTTGCTTCAGAAAAACGGCCTCTCATCCTCTGTCTTTGGCACAGAGGAAAACATCCGCAGAGAACCAGCTGGAGGGTTCTCCTCCAGTTTTCTCTGGGTTCTTCGTGGGGCCTTTCCTGCCATTGGTGAGGCATATCTAAGAAAATAGCTCCCAACTTCCCCCAGGAGTGGAGCTAAGGGAAAGGAGAAGACTGATAAGGACCGGAGGAGGAGAGAAGAGCAGAGGGTGACAAAAACTCCCTGTTCCTAATAATGGCTCGCTCCTACCCAGAAGCCCTTTATAGGAGCTGAGTCCACAGCCCCAACTGCAAAAGGCCACCAGACCCTAGAGGGGATTAAAGCCACTGGGGTGTAACTGTCAGATGCAGCTTCAAAGTCAGTGAATCAACCATTTTGGCTTTTTATGTTTTCCACAGAATTAAAAAATATATCCTAAGAGATGGTCCTTTCTTAAAAATATAAATGCAGCACACACACATCTCAGAGCACAGATGTGGTTTCTGAAACGTCACTTTTCTCACTTCGTATCTCCCAAGTGCTTTTGACATTAGTTTCTCATCTCATCAAGGATGGGGAAATGGAGGTATCTAGCAGAGGGCAAGAAACTGCCCAGCGACCCAGCCTCCGGCCGAAGACGGACCCACCAAGGCAGGTCCTTTTCTCCGCTAAACTTTAACCATCAAACCATATTCCTTCTGCGCTCTGCTAGCACAACTCTCCCGATTCTCCTGCTGGGCACATCGGATGAAAGAGCCGTGCCTAATCCAAGTAAAATCCCTCACCACACCTCCTGGTCTCCTCGGGAGCTGCATCAGCCAAAGGAAAAGGATGTGGGCTTAAGGTGTGAAAGGAGCAGGATCCCAAGGAAACCGAACACTGCAACAATCACCTTTCAGGTACTGTGGGGTTTTTTTGATGGTAGTTTGAACCAGTTTTCAAAGCATGCTTGCTGCTGGAAATTCACCTTCATTCAATCACTAAATGGCCAATGTCTGAATGTTACCTGCTTCATTTAGGGACAAAGCATATAGAGCCAGAGCTGGAAGTTGGGAGACCCTTTTTTTGTGGTGAGATCAGGTGGGAAGCTGAATTACAGTGGCCTGATATGACCCCTAAAAGCTTTCCTGCTTCCTCCTTTCTTGGGCAGACAGTTCTGGGGCCACAAAGGAACATCATGGTAAGAAAGGGATAAGACATGAACCAGGTAAGAGTCCATCTGTCCTCAGTCATGCTCCCATATCCCCTGGCCCTCCTTGCCACCCACCACCCTAAACCAATAATTCCCTAAGTTTGGGCCCACTCTCAGAATCCATCAGATCAATCTGCAGACAGGAGGGGGGCGGGTCAGCTGAGGACCTCTTGCCCCTGGTCTGCTGATACAGACCGAAAAGAACACCAAGACAGAACTGAAAGGAAACAATCAAAAAAAGAGGCATTGCAGTACCAAACTTGGTGGACTCTCTGAGGGTGAGAAGGTGGCTTTGTCTCTTCCACGAACAGAATCTTGGCTCCCATATTTTTTAGACAGAGAAAGAAAAGTTTTTTTTTTTTAAGGGTATATTTTTAAGTTATTATTTCTCTCCTCGATAAAACGGAGGCAATACTTTAAATATCTCAACAGCACCACTGGTGAGGGAAACTGAGTGGAATGCCCTTTAACCAGAGGGGGGGGGACCCCTGGCTGGTTGTTAGAGAATTGTTTTGCCGTGGGGACCCTCAGCAGCCCTAGACCTGCTAATCCCCCTAGGCAGGAGTTTTCAGGGGAGGCTCAGGAATCTGAAAATCAGCTCAGAGCCTTGTCCAGGCTCTCTCAAAATCGGACCTTCCCTCTCCACCCCAGCCTCCCAGCCCAGTCCCACGGGGTCTGTTCTCCATAAAGCATTTAAAGGGTTACACTGGCTCATGCTGTAAGAAATTATGCAACATAACTTTCTCATTTTTTTCTTTTCATTAAAAAAATAAAATATTCAAGACTATCAGCTTCTCTTACTTCTCTTCTTTTTTATATAAAATATCAGCAAGCCGCAAAGAAAAAAAAAAAGATTTTTTAAAAAAAAAAGGTGGGGGGAACAAAAGGAAAGTAATTGCTGAGGTAACTTCATACCTTGAGGTAGTTTACTTGGCGCACAGCATCACCTGACTGGCTCCGCCCACACGTCATGGTTATCTAGTTGTTGTTGCAATGTTGGGAGGAAGGGGCTCAGCACCGGCTCCTCTGCATGCAGGGAGGCCTCCCTTCCTTCCCAGCACACTTGATAGCATTGTCCAAGGGAGCTAAAGTGCACCACCTGGTAATATGCATCGGCCATCAGGGCGTTAGGAGGGGAGGGCTAGCCTCTAACTAATGGCCACCGTCTTCCCCAAGGCCTGCACTTGTTGAGCCTGGTAAATTAATAAATTAAGTGTACTCCTTTGTGCATAATATTGCTGGTATTTTGAATTTTGTTTTCTAGGCACACCTTTCATCATGCCAATAATTCATGGAGGCAGAAGCCATCAGTTAAATATGCCTTTAGATACACATAGACGCATATACTCTCTAATTTACTGAATATTCATAATAAATGCCAGATGGTGGGCTTCAGCTTTACAGAGAGCTCAGGGTTGGGTTCCACATCCCACCACCACCAAGGGAACAGTGCCGTGGGGGGGGAGCGCCCCGCAACCTCTGCCTCTGGGAAACCAGCCCTTTGGGGAGCACATGGGCTGGGTTGAGGGCATAGTGGCAGCCTTTGGGGCCACTCAAGTCCTCCATGGAACAGAGACTTTATCAAGGGGAGTTATGCCCCCTTCCCAGTGCTCATATCCAATCATTAAAATAGACTTTAAAAAAATATAAAATCTGCCTGAGAATGATGGGAATCAGGGACAGTACAGTGGTGAGCCCCTATCCCGCTGAGCATTCAGTACCACCCATGTGCGCCTGAACATGACATGGGACCTACATGGTTCAAGGGATGTGAAGGAGGCAGGGGAATCTTGGTGGGAAAGCCCCAACAGAGTGGGGGAAATTTCTCGTGCCAATTTTTCAAATGGTGATCTGAGACAGATCAGCCACGAGGGCACTTCTTTTAAACGTGGATTACTAGAATTTTAATCATCTCCCCATTTCTTCCCTATTCTTTACTCTTGATAGTCCTATTGGTTGGTGAGGGAGGGATTGGAATTGAATTACAAATACTGATGTGTCTTCTCCCTTTGAGTTAATATCAAGCAAAGCCATGCATTGGTTCCCACTTTTTCTGGTTAACAGTAAAGAGAAAATAATTAGTGTGACTACGAAAAGGTTATGTTGGGGCAAGAGAATGAAGGTATTTAACCAATAAACCAATAGAAGGCTGGAAGAAATTTAGGGTCAAGAAGCAAACCATCCTTTGAGGCTGATTAAAACACCTTCTGCATGTTTTAAAAACCTGAAGGAAATTTTATTTCTCTTCCCAATGGGGGTCTGACCCACCCTCTCTCAATGGGACCTGTAGAACTCACTTATTTTAACAATCCACGTTTAAAAGCACCCTGAGCTAGAATTTCCAAGGTGATGCCCTGAGGGGGAGGCAGTGTTGAGCCAATTGGTTGGGTGTTTGAGGCCAAGAGATCAGGGTTCCTCACTGGAACATCTTTCTCAAGCAAGTGGGCAAACCTGATCTGCATCTCGGCCCGCGTCCCTGATTCCCACTCATTCTCAGGCCTGCTGGGGAGAACGCGCTCTCAATTTCAGCCCGTTGTCCTTGAATCAACTCGATGGGAAGGGGCCGGTCACTTCCTCCGCGCCTGGGCCTGGTTACTCTGTCCCTTTTGGTGCAGCTGTTTGACTTGAGCTAGGATGTCTCGGATCTTCCTCTGAGCCATCTGTGGAAAGAACAAGCAAGAGGGAGAGTGAGGACTCCAAAGGCAAGGAAAGCCTGAACACCGAGTGGGAGGCCACCAGGACCCAGACTGGCAACCAAAAGAGCAGGTCACCTGGAACTTAGAAGAGAGACCAGGGGCAGACTGAGGGCCAGAAGTGCCTTAATTTTCTCTGCCTTCTGCACCCACTAGGTTACAAAGCTAGTGTGGGAGGAGAGAAGGAAGAAACAGCAGTATGAACTCTGAATTCAGAAAGTCAACTGGACCAAGCTGACACGCTACTGATACAAAAAAGGAACTCTGGATCTCCCTGCTGGCCCAGGTTAAGTCTCAGCCCTATCACCGCGGCCTGAATTCAATCCCCAGCCAGAAAGATGACCCACATCGCCCAGCAGAGCTCTCCTGTCTCACCGGCTGCTCCCCTCAGCGGTGTCTTTCTTTCTTTCTTTCTTTCTTATTTATGTATACAAGCACTGGGTACAGTTAGAAGCGTGGGAGGGTGAGAGAATTCACCAGAGCCAGAGCGGGAAACAGAACAGGCAGACTGACAAAGTACACTGCTGAGGGGAGCAGCGGGCGGCAGGAGAGGTCTGCGCACCATGTGGGACCCTCCTCCAGTGGCAGGAGAGGGGAGAGATAAAGTGCCCGGAGATGGGGAAACAGTACTGCTCGCTCCACTGTGACGTCTGACAAAGTGCCACTGAAGAATCAGTGTCTTTACTTCTTCTTAGTTTACTTCCCTAAGATGATCTTGCTTTATAAGCAAAATCAAGTGCAAAAGGAGCTTCTAGGCTGGGGAAGAATGTAGAATAAATATGAGCTCCTACTGTTAGTCTCATACTTGATGTTTTATGTAGTTTTCTTTTAATTCCTTGTTCTGGTCCATTAAAATTGCCCCACTGCAGCACTGAATACATCCTGCTTTTGCATCTTTGAGTATATCATTTACCTCTTAATCTTCACGTTCCTCGTCTGTAACATGCAGTTGTCGTGGGGATTAAATGAACTAGGAAAGGTAAGCCTCACAGAACAGCACTAGTGTCTCAGAGACACTCATAAATCTTAGCTGGGCCTCCCCTGGTGGTGCAGCAGTTGAGCGCTGGGCTGCGAAGCTGCCCGCAGCCTCTACAGCGCCAGCTTGATCCCCAGCCACTGGCGAGGGTCCCACATGGCGCACAGACCTCGCCTGCGGCGCCTGCTGCTCCCCTCAGCAGTGTATTTCGTCAGTCTGCCTGTTCTGTTCCCGGCTCTGGCTCAGGTGAATTCTCTCACCCTCCCGCACTTCTGACTGTACCTAGTGCTTGTATGTATAAATAAACAAACAAACAAGTAAATCTTAAAAAAAAAATCTTAGCTGTTACTGGGACTTTTGATCGCTTCTCAAAAGGTTGATAAAGTTGTTTGCAAAGTCACGGAGCAGAAAGGCCATGGGGTTCAGTTCAGTTCCCACACCCATTTTCTTGGTGTCAATACACATGGAGCCAAAAGCCAGGATCCTGCATTCCTGTTTTGCCCTTGACTACCTGAGCAGCCCCAAAGGACCGTTAAGTCGGCTGTGACTGCTGATCTGCCGTGGATGGAAGGGACTTAAATCAGTCGGCACCTTCTGTGCCAACACAGAGGGATTTTAGGAAAACCCCCCGAGCATTCAATCATCTTTTCTCCGATGTGTGAGGGATCAGAAAATTTGAGCCTGATGCCCTTCCTCTTGGCAGGCTCTGGATCAGTGCCAATGCTGGGCAGTGCAGACAGGCTCGCTGGGGGCAGCACAGGCCTGCGGGGCAAGGAATGGGAAACGACAGGGTGGAAGAACAGGAACCCGATGGAGCATCATTCTTGGAAAGGGACTGTCTTAGAAAAAGGCAATCTAGGGGGCCTCCCTGGTGGCACAAGTGGTTAAGACGCAACCTTTGAAGCTGTCTGCAGCCACTGCAGCACGAATTCATTCCCCAGCTACCCACATGACGCAGCAGACCTATCCTGACTTGCCCGCTGCTCCCCTCACCAGTGTGTCTCAATCTGCCTGTTCTACTCCCCATCTTGTCTCCAGTGAATCCTCTCACCCGCCACACCTCTGGTCTGTATCCCAGTTCTTGCATACATGCATAAATAAATCTTTAAAAAAAGATAAAAGAAAAAGGCAATCTAGGGTGTTACTGTTATTAGTCCATGAACAAGGCTGGGTGGTGGGCGATACCCATTTCCTTCCTTATCCAGTGCAAAAGGGCTAGGGAAGGGCTAAGGTAAGACACCAGAGCAGACTGTGAATGTATGTCCCTGCTGTCATACATGATGTGTGCTATAATCCAAGCTGTCACATCACTTCCCTGACACGGGCTAGGGGGGAATCAAGAACACGTGTCCCACTCCTACACCTGGCAGTGCCACCCTGCCCGAGCCAGGCAGAGGGCAAGGTCATGAAAGTTACACCTCTGCAGTCTTGCTTCTCCGATGGCTGAGCTCCTATCACCTTCCCATGCTCAGGGGAGTCCCTGTGTACCTGGCTGGCATAGAAATGCCCGATGATCTTGACGATGACCTGGTCGTTCTCATCAGGAGTCTGGTCTCTTGGCACTACCACCTCAGCGGCTGTCAAATTCTGCAACTCATTCACCTGGGGGGTGAAAGAGGGGGATTTCAGGGTGCTGTCAAGAAATCATGGGTGGCCAAGGAGTTAAGGCTCAGTGCTATCACCGCAACCTGAATCCAATCCCCAGCCAGGCGGGCTAACGCACATGGCAGAGCAGACCTCTCCTTCCTTACCTGCTGCTCCCCTCAGCAGTGTATTTCAGTAAATCGCCTGTTCTGCTCCCCACTCTGTCTCTGGTGAATCCTCTCACCACCCACACCTCTGGCCTACACCCCAGCTCTTCTATGCAAAAATTAAAAAGAAAACACGGGTGGGACTGGTTGGAAGGAGGCAGGTGACTAGCAGGTAGAAACTAGAGGAGCCAGGAGCTGATTCTGCTCTAGGGAGCAGAATCAAGCCAGTGGGCCACCTGAGAGTCCCATGTTTGAGAAGGGCAGGGGAGGAGGGGCCAGGACAGTGCTGTTGGGAGGACTGAGGTCTAGAACTTCAACCTGGCCTTCGTGACTCACTGTTTTGCCACCTTTGCCAATGACCCGGCCAGCTGCTGAGGCTGGTACCCGGATATGGGTCTCTAGCTTCACTTCTTCCTTAGGTCCAAAGAAATTCTCCTCCTTGAGCTTTCCATAAATTCTTCCCTGTGCCTGAAAAGAGAAGGTCATTGCTAACTAGAAGCTCACACGCACATCTATGTATGTGAAACATAAAGGAATCAAAGCAAACACAACTGTGGGCCCCAAACTCCCTGTGCTCTTCTGTCTCCCAGGCAGCCCCACCCAAGAAGGCTCAACCATCTAAGCTGGGGGGACAGGGGGTATAAAAAAGTCAACAGAGTTAACCTGACAATCACCTCTCTTCTCCTCCTTTGTAATACTGGGTAGAATCAATGACCTAAACTTCCCCGGTGTATAATCTGTTAGCTACAAGCCTGACCTGTGGGGCACAAGGTGACTACATCTCTCTGCAGATGGCAGTGACCAGCAATGCAAGCCCCTGCATGGCAGTTAGGAGTGTGGTCCCTACTGTCCACCCCATCCTTGGTCAGACTGCATTACTAGCTCTTTGGCTGTGTGACCAGAAGTTCCAGAACCCAGGGATGCTGTAGGGATATAAAGGAGAGTCGGAAATTTGGCATCAAAGGTCTTGGTTAAAAACTGAGGGAGAAGCCCTTAGACTTCCTTCTTTCCCGTATTCCTGTTGACCCTCAGAAAATGAAGAGGGAAGGGGTGTCAACAGCAATGACATTCGGTGCAGCTGGAAGCAGTCAGCAGTCCCTACCCCGCAGGCAAGTTTTCACATGCAGCATGGATTTGCATGCCCACCCAACCTTTATCCTCTGTTATCCACTGGGGACAAACAATAGAGATCAGAACCTTGAATTGGGCTTCTGGGGGTCCAGTGATGATGACCATACGAACTTTGGAATCAGGAGTTTCTGGGGGAGCGATCTATAACAGAGCAAAGAGCTGGTCAGAGAGGAGGCTGGGTCTCCTGGACGGCCTGCAGACCACCCTCACTTCCACCACAAAACTCTGGGGAACCGGCAAGGGAAAACCAAACTCCCTGCACCTTAGGGTCACTGCCCCCCACCATGATGGGACATTTTCTAAGTAGACCCCCCCCACCAAGTCCCTGGGGAGGTTTCAGTGCAGTCCTGCTGAGGGAGGGGAGACAGATGAGATGACCAACGGGCTTAGGGCAGTGACACACTTAAAGAACAGTCCTGTGTGTGACCAAAACCCTCAAGACCACCAAAACATAGGCATTTGGACTTGGGAGGTTTAAAGGGCAAGACAGATTCTCCCTCCTCCCCCACTGGTCCCCGGCCAGGAAGATCAAAGAACATCTAACGTTTGTGAGCAAGCGCTGTGCCCAGCAGACAGAGCCAGGGGCTTGTGCTGCACCACTTCATAGTGTCACAGCCACTCTGCTGTCAAGACACTGAGGTCGGGTCCCACAGCTGAGGGGCTGAATTTGGACCAAGTCAGTCTGTGCCGGAACCAAGCTCCCTAGTCCAGAAACATGCAAGGCATGCCACAAAGACCAGGTCAAAAGCAAGGGCTGGTTCCACAGGAGGAAAGGCTCCAACATTAGCCATCTGGGAACAAAACAAGAGCAGTAGGGCAGAAGCAGAGTGTTGTCCCATTCGGGAACTGGAAGGAGACAGAGCAGATACCTTGATGGAGGCACTGGCGAAACGGGAGAGCTGTTTGATGTGCTGCCCCTTCTTGCCGATAATGGCACCCACCGCCTGGGCAGGAATGAAGACCTGCACCATCTCCTGCTCCGGAGCCTGCTGCCAGGGCAAGAAGTGTTATCACCATGGGTCAATGGCACAGACCCCTGCTCCCCTGCCATGAATCTTCAAAAGGGCTACAAGCTCTCTTACTTCCCAGTAGGGTTAAGGGGAGCGGGGATTTCTATGTACTCCCACGCAACCCCTATCCCCCTGCAGCACAGAGCAAGAGAAGACTGTGCCTGCAGCCCGGGCCACAGGGCAGAGGTTCTGAAGTGTGGGCACTGGTGGCTGGGAACTGGTGGGGCATTTACAGGCCTCCCTCTTCCCTTTCTGCAAGCCCCCAAGCAGCAGGCTCCCGCAGAGTTGGACCCTACGGGGGCCATTGCAGGGCCCAGGGGCCACCAGCAGTTAAGATCTTGCACCTACCATAAAGGAGCTGTAGGGAGCAGCTCCCGTGACGCTGCTGGGAGGCGGCGGGACTGCACTGGATGAGGCTGGGAAAAGGCCCACTGCGGCCAAATTCAGGCCAGGGATGAGATGAGACTGCAGCTGTGGAAGGAAGGTAAGGAGGTGGTCAGTTCACCTGATAGGCCTGCTGGTTCCTCATGCGTGGCCCCAGGAAAGCACTTTTACAGAACCCTTTGGTCTTATGATGTAGAGTTGCCCTTCACGCAACATTCTCACAGAACTAAACATAAGGAACTCCAACCACAGAAGCGAACCAGTTTAAACCTTCACAGGTCCTTCCCTCCCCAACTGTTCAGCCCACTATGGAAGACACGGCGACAGACTCTTAACAATCTTGTGTATAACCCTACAGCACAACAGTCTTAAGAAAAGGCCTAGTGGGTCAGACCCCCACCCCATTTGACTTCTGGGACTCACCTTTCTGGTCACAGATTCCACACCCTCATACCCTTTAACAATCAGATCAAAATAAAAAGGACCACAGACCTTTGAAGCCCATGAATTAGACCTACCCCAAGAATCAGACCAAAAACCACTAATTCAATGACCCTTTTCCGATGAGTTTAGGGCCAAGAGCAAAGTCGAACCCCAAGGCCCCATGGTGCAGGGGGTGCCCGGCTCAGAAACAGAGCGGGGACCACGGGGGTGCTGGCACTCACACTCATGGCAGCCACGTCATTCTCATAGGCTTCACGAACTTTCTTCATGATCTCCTGCTCAGCCCTGCAGCAGTTTTCGATGGCCCCCTTCACAGTGATGGTCCTCTCGGGGTTGTAGAGAGTGAGGTCCTGTAGCCTGGGGGACAGAGGGGCATGCCAACCTTTCACTGACAGTCCTGGACCGGGGCCCAGCGGCCCCACATTCTGCAGGCTGTTTCGGTGAACAGCTCCCTGTTCCTGAGCTTTAGTTTATATCAGGCAGGGAGTGAAGAGCAGGCAGACAGGAACAGCCTACTGAAACCCTTCTATTAGCGACAAACCCAAAGAGGGTTTTGTGACCAGCCAAGCAAGGAAGTCTGTGACTGGCCATTTCCCAAGGACACTCCATCTCCTGGGCTTTTATGGAACGAGCCACAGCCAGTCGCTGTGAAATGAAGTGGCACCACACCAGGCTCAGAGGCACAAGCCCACCCTTATCTAGTCCCTCCCAGAGAGGCTGCCCACCACAGAGAGCACATGCTCTGTCCTCAGAAACGGACAGAGGTTCTTCCACTTCTCAGCAAGTAAAACCCCAATGTCCTGGCACCGCTGCAAGCTCTCCTGAGATGCCATGGTGCTATGTGGAGGGCAGAGGACTAAGGGCACAGCAGCCCTCCCACCTGCATGGCAGTGGGGAAGGGAGGGCCAGGCCTCACTGAGTGGGTCAAATGCTCTTTACTGCTTCTGTTATTATGCCCCTTCAATGGGGAGAGAGTGCAGCCAGCAGGTGTTAAGGTGCAGGGATTAAATACTATTGGCGGGGGCCTCCCCGGTGGCGCAGAGGTTGAGCGCTGGGTTGCGAAGCTGCCCACGGCCTCTGCGGCGCTGGTTCGATCCCCGGCTGCTCCCCGGCCACCAGAGGAGGGTCCCACATGGCGCGCAGACCTCTCCTGCCGCCTGCTGCTCCCCTCAGCAGTGTACCTCAGTCCTTCTGCCTGCTCTGCTCCCCGCTCTGGCTCTGGTGAATTCTCTCACCCTCCCACGCTTCTGACTGTACCCAGTGCTTGTATAAATAAAGAAATCTCAAAAATAAATAAATAAATAAACAAACGCTATTGGTGCTGGGCCCCTGGGCACCTCACTCAGTAACAGAGAGACTTGGAGAGTCCCTTACGAGGAGATGGTGATTTTCGTCTCAGTGTCCTGCTCCACCTTCTTCAAGTTGCGTCCTTCCTTGCCAATGAGACGCCCCACAAAGTTATTGTGGGCCAGGATCTTCAGGGGGACCTCGTCAGCCCTTAGGAAGACAGGGGAAGGCGTGAAGGACTAAGCTCCTTAGCAGTGGGCCACGAGAGGGTGGGGGTTCCAGGACAGACCACAAGACAGGTGTGTTTTGAAAGACTAAGGAAATCAACGGGTGTTTGTTTCAATAGCAAGTGGGGATGGGTGCCAAGGGGCTCGGGTAATGAGAGCTATGGATTTGCTTGCTATCTTAATTGTGGTTTTACAGATAGATGCACATTGTATTCCCAACTACATACTTCAATGTAGAATTCTACGCATCCAGGGAAAGAATGAAGTAGGTCGGTATGTATTAATGAATGAAGGTTAAAAAAAAAAAATTCCCTGTGATCTTATTTGTGCTAAAGTGTACATGAACGCATGTACGCGCACACACACACACGCACACACCTGTGAGTGCACAGAATTTCTAGGGGAGCATACAAGGAAAGGGGAGTAAGGAGGGTTTTGATTCCGTTTATAAGCTTTTGTACGCCAATGTCTCCTACAGTGTCATTAAAAAACATGTGCTGGTGTGGGAGAGGTAAGTCCCCCAAAACAGCTGAAGCCTTACGTTTTGGTGTCCTTTGCCTCCTTATGCATAATCTCCAGGATCATCTTGCAGGCGGAAGAGCAGCCCTCGGGGGTAGAATGGACACTGATGGCCTTCTCGGCCGCACCGGCATTCTCCTTCCTGTGCACATCTATCCTAAGAACCCCAGGACAAGGACGGGGTGGTTATTCTTCCAGAACGAGACGCAAATTCTGGCTTCCCCCACCTCTCCTCAACCAAATGCAGAGTCTGGTCTCCTTGGAAAAGGTTCAACGCAGAATTGGCAAAAGCTGATAAAGGGCTGGGAAATACGACCAGCTTCCTGCCTCTATCGGCAGTGGTTGAGAAAGGCGGGAATACAGGGCTGCAGATCAGATGCTTGGAAGCTGCATTCCCCCTCAAATTCTGTATTTCCCCCTTGAAGGGGCAATAAAAGGGAAAATGCAATGTCCCAAATTAATAACGATATAATGACTCTTTTCTTTCCGACAGAGTACACTGATCAGCCATTGAGACTGGAGCAGCAGTGGCTGTGATGGAATTGGGATGGTGAGTGACCATGCCCCGTTCCTCGGCCAGTCTTGGGCCAGGCTGGCCAGGCTTGAGCAACCAACAGCAGTGCTGAAATCAAGAGCACTGAGCAGCAGCTGATTCACCAAGACCGGAGCTGCTCAGCGAGACTTTCTATGAGAAATCTCAGGCCCCTTCTTACTGACAAGGCCCAGCCGCTGCCACTGCAGAGGGCAGCCCAGGCCCATTCTACTCCCAGCCTGCCCACCTCCAAACCAGGAGCTGCCACTAGCACTAATGCTCCCTGAGTGGACAGGGGAAGGAACCCGTTCCTGGCAGCATGTCCCCAAGAGGGACATGTCTATGCCCCTTGGTGTGCTTCTAAATCACCCGCCTCCCAGCACCAATTGCTGCCTCCAAGCTCCTGCCTCCCTTCCCCAGCAGCCAAGCTCACTTGGACTGGGTCTGTTTTGTGATGTTGCGGATGGTGGCGCCCTCCTTGCCAATGATGGCGCCCACATACTGTGTGGGCACAAGGAGCCGTAGAGGAATGTCCACTTGCTGCTGCTTGGCTGGGGCCCCCGCTGCCACGGGTGAGCCCTGGCGGGGCTGACCCCGAGAGCCAAAGCCTCCTCGGCGTCCATTCTCAGGCCCCTGTGCTATCTGCTCGTCGGGAATGTAGGAGACCTTCAAGGCATGGTTCTCTAGCTGATGACCGTTCAGCTTCATGATGGCTCTGGGATAGAAGAAGAGGCTACTGGTCACTCCAATCTACGCCCATCACACCCAACACTCTGCAAGGGACAGGCTCCACTGGGCTACAACACGAAAGGGCTCTGAGAATGGCCCCAGCAGTGGGGTGAGGGCGGGACCACACTTCCAAGAACAGTCACTGGGTTTGACCAAAACCCTCAAGACCACCAAAATAAAGGACTTAAACTAAAAACAGAGCCTCCCTGGTGGCGCAGGGGTTAAGTCTCAGCACTACCAAGCTATTGCCAGCCACTACAGCACAAGTTCGATCCCCAGCCAGGGAGTTGACCCACATGGTGCAGCAGACCTCTCCTGTCTGCCTGCTACTCCCCTCAGCAGTGTATTTCACTTAGTCTGCCTGTTCTGTTCCCCACTCTGTCTCTGGTGAATCCTTTCAACCCCCACATCTCTGGCCTGTACCCCAGTTCTTGTATGCATAAATCTTTTTTTAAAATCCTTTAAAAAAAGAAACTAAAAACACCTTTATTTCCAAGATATCAAAAAATGCAAATGTAATGATGTAAATATAAATGATCTGTGAGGATTGGGGAGATTTGGGGACCAGCCTATCAGTTTCAGCCAAACCACTTGCCTTAAAGGATTCGTATGGAAAGCACATGGAGGCAGGCGGTAAGAGTTGTGGTTTTTACACCTAGAGTCTGACATCTTGTTAAGGAAAAGTATGTAAAAGAAGTGAGAATGGGAGACATTGCAGTCTGCTTACCACTCCAAGTGGATTTAAGTGCCCTGGGTGCCCTGGGGCGGGGAGAGCAGTGTGAGTGAGCCGGAGGGAGGGGCAGGGCCACGGACTCCCAAGGCTGACTCAGGTTGGAAACACTAATTGGGCAACAAATTGGGCAACAGCAGCAAGTTGTGGGGTGAGCAAGCTTTTTCAGCTGGGCTGAAAAAGGGTAAGTGTGACCACAAGGGGCAGTAGAAACCTCCAGACAACTCTGAGCTCCGGAGACATCTACAAGAAAACTAAGTGGTAGAATTGTGTATATTGCACCCCTAGATGGGAGGAAACAAACAGGACAGTGGAAGCACATGGAAGAAGCATGAAAGTCATGAAAAGAAAATGTGGCAAGTCTATGAACATGGTCAAATGGATATAGAAGAAATGCGTAAAATGCATTTAAATGTACAGTCAGTTGGTACCAACAGGTGAGAAGTGTAACTGTGCCACCAAAGGATTAAGCGGCAAGGAGTGATGGATGTGATAGACTCAAAGAGCCGGCTGCAGAGAACCTGGCCTGCCCCAGTCGCATCCTAACACCCACTTGCTTGTTAAAAGTCTTGTGGCTCCTCCTCACTATCACTAGATGGCGCCATAAACATAGCGAAGTGGCCAGCAAGTCCCCGGCCACTAGAAATCTATCAGAAACTCAACTTTTCTCCTGCTCAGGATTTCCCACCTTCCCTCAGGAGTTCTGCCCCTTCAGGGTATTTGCCATCCATCCCAAGGAGTTTCTGAGACCCCTGAACCAAGTCTGAGGCCGACTAGACAATAGCGGAACCAGGGGGGCCTCACAGCTTTGGAAAAGAGACCCCAACTCCCAGCGCCCAGCCCCCTCCGACACACACACCCTTCCCAGCCCACTTCCCTTCCCTGCCCACTCACTGCCTGGTCTGTTCCCTGTTGGAATAGGTCACATTCACCACTGCAGTCTCGCTTTCCGTGTTCACTGGGGAAGCAAAACAGAGGGCGGGGTCAGAGTGGTTAAGGTTTGGAGATGCCACAACAAATCCGAGTGTTAAAAAAAGCCTATCCTTCCGTGATGTTATGACATCCAGAAAGGAATCCTGGGCAAAACATTTCCTTTTAGACCCCTTTCACCAGAATTCCTTTAAAATCCAAATTAACCTCTTTGCATTTTCCCTTTATGTCTCCCTTTGATTTCCTCACCCAGCCCCTGCCCCAAGAGCTGAGTATACAGAAGGTACAGTCAACTTATCAGCAGTTATTCAGCAAGGCTAACATACACACCCCACTGGAAGGCAAATTTACACTTGGAAAGTTAAACGTGTTAAAAATCACACACTGAGTGAGGTTACCAATTTATAGAAAGCAAACATTCTATGAGATGGTGTGTAGGTGTGGGGACACCCAAATTCATTTTTTTCGGGTATCCTCAGTATACTAACCAAGTGGTTATAAAGCAGACTGTGATCTGGCTAAATGGATCGTGGCTGTGGAGTCTTGGGGGCAGAGGGGCAGAGGCTGGGGAACAGAGCGTCCAGGTTTTGAAGGAGAGGATTTCCTGACTGTACATCACAGGTTCATGACACCAACTTGAGCCCATGGAGGTCCCCAGCTCTGATTATGATCGAACTTTTGATTTCCATTTGACACTCAGTCTTTCCTACAGGGAGGAGACTGGGTTGGACATTAGAATTGCCAACTGGGCACCTACTTCTCACTTTAAATTAATAAAATTAACCATCTCCTATGCATCACTCTCTAGTGACTGAGGGGCCCCTGGGCCTGCTCAGCCCTAGGGTGAAAGATAACAAAGAACAAGTCTCTGTTCCCACAACATGGAGAAGCCACCTGGCCCAAGAGCTCAGTGCAAATCACTCGGTGCCCCCCTTCTGGCCTCCAGCAGCACCTTCTTCCTGCTCAATGATGAGGAAGATTCTGCAAGAATAATCTTCCAGTGAAATGGAAATATAGCAGTGATGAAATCGGCAACACCACTACCTTCACAGAGCTTACACTCTAGTATTACTAGGAGAGACAAAACTGAGCATAAAAAACAAGCAAATGCTACAGAACATTAGAAGGCACTTTACTGAGAAAGTGAACATTTGGGAAGACTTGAAAATTTTCTCTATTGTGCAACAAAAGGTTCTGTTTGCTCCAGGTAGCAGACAGCCCTGCAGACACGGTGTGGTGGCGCCCCAATGAGCCTGAGACAGATTTAAACCAGTGCCGACTCCTGCTGGGCCTCCCAGCAGAGCTCCACAAGCCACATCTTAAATCTTGCTCTGTTTGTCCAGGAGTGACTGAGTCATTTGTAAGATGTGAGCGGGTCAGTACTGGGCAATGGTTATCAGCACGTCCACTTGTGTCCTGGCATTTACGATAAAAGGCTAGCTACAGGGTTTCTTGAAGGTTTACAAACTCAAAGTAGTGTTTTGTCCACCGAATAACCAAGTTCTATAGGCATCCAACCAAAATTACTCCCTATCTTAATCTCATTTCCTCTAAAAATAATCTATAAAGCAATGGAGAAATTTCAAAAATCATAGCAAACTTCTTGTGATGCACCATTTCTTTCTGATTATTTCTTTTTAAGGGCCCACTCTTGAATCTGCCCTTCAATCTGGAGTAACTAAGCAGTAATTCCTTTGTTTTTAAAATTGACCAAAAACATATAGCTGACCATTAGTGCTTCTAATGTGCTAGGTAGGTACTCAAGACCAGAATGAAGAATCAGACTAAATGAACAATTTCCATTCCTGACTCCAGAACTTCCAGATCTCTCTTTCTACCTTGGTTGGTCCCTCAGAGCCTGGAGACCCAGGATTAGGAATGGGTGACTTTGTTCAAGTCTCCTGCTAGACAGCAAGGCTAACTCGGACTCCATGTCTAGGTCCCATTCCAATATATCTCCCCCATCATAATACCATTCTGTCTTCTTTTGATATGCCAGGGAGATGTGGTAATGAAAGATGAAGCTGACCCCTGACCTCTCCATAGCCACCCCTCCACCTCCTCCCAGTCTTACCTTGCTCGCAGTTCTCTACTGTACCATACTGAGCAAGCAGGCTGTCCAGTACCTAAGGGAGCACGGAGAACAAGGGAGGCTATAATGAGCATCCCAGGAACCATCACAAGGCCATCCTCGGAACCCTTAGGTGCGGACCTTGTGTTATTACTGGTTCTGTTTGCCCTTTCTGGGGTATTAATGCTGATGACAAGCTGCTGGGGTTATCTCTGCAGAAATATTTAAGCTCTGCATTTAAGGGACCTTTTAGAAGCAGAATGAGTCAACTAAATCATCTTCTGCCAGCACTAAGTTTGGGGCTCAGGGAATATCCTTCCCATCTCCCTGGTATCTCTCATCATAGAGAGAACACAAGGGCTAACACTAGTAGCGTCCTGGGTAAAGAATGAGCCCTCACCCACCCACCTCCCCTCACCTAGTCCCCAATCTCCAGGGTCTTCCAGGGTCAACTACCTCTCCCAACTGGGGAGTCCCAACTTTGCAGTCTTCACTACCCCAAGTCATTCAGTTTCCCCCAATCACTTACTTCCCATCGAAGCTGTGGTGGAATATTTCGAATCTGAATTTTCCGACTCCTGAAATTAGAGGGATAGGATTAGTGACAGTTGTGGACGCTTTAGGACCCTGTGTAGTCGCTGTTTCTAGCCCTTGTCCCAATGTGTCGCTCCTTACCTTCCGGCCCAACACCCAAGTCTAAAGGTCAGAGTAGGGGTGTCCCACTTGAGAGAGCAAAATTACTGCTGCAGCTGTCACAGGACCAAGAATCAGATACCCTAAGCACTAAGGTAACCTAAATCCCTAAAAATCACATCTGTTTGTCTCACCACTTAGGTTTCTCACTATTTCTTTGAATCAGAAATCACCTATTGGGGCCTCCCCGGTGGCGTAGCGGTTTGAGCTCTGGGTTGCGAAGCTGCCCCCAGCCTCTGCAGCGCCTGTTCTATCCTCCCGGCCACCGGAGCAGGGTCCCACATGGCGCACAGACCTCTCCTGCCACCCGCTGCTCCCCTCAGCAGTGTACTTCAGTCCTTCTGCCTGCTCTGCTTCCCGCTTTGGCTCTGGTGAATTCTCTCACCCTCCCAGTGCTTGTATAAATAAATAAATAAATCTTAAAAAAAAAAGAAAAGAAAAAGAAATCACCTATTACCACCCGCTATATGGCAAGCACTGGGATACAAAGCTAAACAAGACATTATCAATTCACCTACTGCCTACTTCTTTCTGGACTTTGCTCGAGATTGGGGGGTGGGGGGGACAGGACACACAGCAGATAAACAGAAAAAGTGCCTGGCCTCAAGGTGCTCACTGTCTGCTTGGGGAGACATGAAAACAAGTTACAGCAGGATGGCAGAACATCAGTGAGGGCTTTGTACAGATCTGTATTTAATCCTGGGCTCCACTTACTAGCACTGATCTTAAAAAGATTATTTAACTTCTTTGAAGCTCAGTTTCCAACTTTGTAAAAACAGTGGTAATAGCTATTCACAGGGTAGCATAAGGTGATGTTAGACATTATTATAAAGAGCTTAGCAGAAAAGGGCTTGGAGTAAGTACTTAAGAGTTTAATGACACTAAAACACAACGTAAGGGAATGCTAAATTGGGGTTGATTCACACACCATGATCTCCTTCACTCCTCCCAGTTATCGATACTTTCTCCTTCCCATCTTTCAAAAGCCTCTTAAAAACATAATCTTCCACGGGTAATCTTTCAGGTTCCAGGCTGATTCCCAGGTAGCTGCTCACCTAAATCAATGACCTAATCCCTGGGTTTAAAAAGCTTTTAAAGGACCAACCTGGTGGCACAAGGGGTTAATCCTGAGCATTATGAAGCTATAGGCAGCCACTGCAGCACAAGTTCGATCCCTGGTCAGGGAGCTACCCACATGGCACAGCAGACCTCTCGTGTCTCACCCGCCCTCAGTATTCCTAGGTCATGGGGCCCAGATTAGCTCTTGCCAAGCTAAAGGACAGGGGTGTTGAAAACATGTGGGCGCCAGGGAAGGAATGCTAATTTTTCAGGAAAGGAAATCTTTTCCTGAGATGAAATAACTTAGGGAAGAGGATGGCTGCTAAACAGAATGTTTGCCCATGGTTCTCTGGTCGCCTTGTCGACCTGATCTAAGGTGTCAGACACAGCGGGAGGGATTAGAAGCGGGAGGCCAGTTCTGGGTCCTGACCCCAAACCATGCCACCTTCTCGTGAAGAGAAATTATGGTCAAGAGGGTGCCCCACTGCACCTGGCCTTGCGTGAGAGAGTCCCCGTACAACTCATACGGTGACCAAATGAGTGGAGGAAATACAAGAACCTCATGGAATAAAAGTCAAACTAATGGAGAGTTGAAAAGGTGACTGCACTCTCTAAGACTAGAAACACTGATCTAGCTTAATTCAAATAGAAAGGCTGGCCCAAGCTAAGGCCCTCCATCAAGCCAACACTTGTGAAGGGCAGGGAGGTGGAGACTGCCTGCCTGAGTATTCAAACCAGTAAGGGCCTAAAGCAACCCAGCCCCAATGCAGGAGAGGCTTGATCAGAAGAGCTTTCAAGATGGTCTTTGGTATAATCTCCAGTCAAGTCAAAGGTCAAAATCACCCTCCTCCTACCCCAAACTCTCAGTCTGAGGAAGGCTTGAGGGGCTTTCTTTTCAGGATTGGGAGGGTAGGGGAGGGGGCCATAGCAGTGGTGAAATCAAATCTCTACTAGGGATGTTAATCCATATCCTGAAAGCAATGGCAGTCTGGAATGTCTGGAATGTTCCAGGAGTGGGAGGGGGGAGGGCAGGGCCACCCAACCAATGAAAGAAAAGGCCTCCCGGCTGCCCTCCCCCACCCAACAGGCAGAGACGCATTCACCCCTCTAGTAAGCACACACCCAATCCTGGGAACCCTCTCCAGGCCCCTCCAGGCCTCCAAACCCCTTTTCTGCAAAGCCCCCAACCCTGACAGAAACACAACAGAAGCCAGGAAGAATCTTTGTGTTTTAGCGCCTGGTCTGGTTTCTATTAAGTATGGTGCTACCTAATTTAGCTCAGGCCCAAAGTACATGGGGCAATGTTGGGGTGTGTACCCAGTACTCCCTTCCTAGGACGCCTGGGTTGCTCATTCACCCCACAAGTATTTATGGAAGGCCAGTGAAGGCTGGGCTAGGGACATGTGCTGATGCTTGGGGGATCCACATGGAAGCCAAGAGCAGCCTGACTGCATTGCATCTCTGTACCTTAGTTCCCTCCTTGGAAAACTGATAGCATGAGTCAGGGTGTACCTGCTATTGGAGGAAGTAATGATGGCTGATCCAGGTTCCCCGGAAGCCTACTGGGGTCCTGACAAGCATGGGAAGAGGCAGACTGACAATGAGCAGCTCAGTACCATGCTGACAATGTTGCAACGTCCACACCGCTGGGGCAAGTAGAGGGCAGAACCACTGCCCAGAGGCAGGCCCGCTTCCCTTACCCAACCTCCCAGGACAACACAGGGGTTATGGTCCAGTATGGAGACCAGGCCCACTTCCACCCCCAGGATCAGCTTCCACTGTTAAGTTCAACAGTGCCTTTGCCCTGCAGGCAATAGGGCAACATAAGCAGAGCCTGGAGCACTAAACGCTAATACCCATTGTTCAGAAAAGGCAAGAGGATTCCTAAGGGTTCAGGAACCGCCACCCACCCAGGCTCTGTAGCAGATAAACCTGTTAAGTGAAAGAAGCTCACAGCCTCAGGCAATAAAGGCAATGGTTGCACCAACCAAATTACTTCCCTGGGTGCCAACATCCCCGAGGCTTCTGACCTCTCCCCCTGCCCCAACCCACAGTTACCAAGCCTGTAACAAGTTATCAAGCCTGTACCCAGGCTTGATGGGGACTGGAGCCCCCATCTCTAGCACTGCCGGGGACCAGCAGCGGGCATGAGGACCACAGGACCCAAGTGACCCTTCTTCCCAAACTTGGGGAAGGTGGATTCCAGGAGAGACCAGAGAGAAGCATTCCTGCAATCGCCTAAGGAGTTAAACAGGCAAACCAGAGAGTCAGGAAGCACAGGAATGGGCACCCGGATGGGGAGACGCTGGGAGCGGGGGTGGCTGGGAGGTATCCCTGGGCAGGAAGCTCTTGTACTTTTCACCTTTTCAGAGCAGTGTCACTGACTTAAGACAGAATGGGAAAGTAGCCCACCACCATTGAAGAAGGGCCCCAAACTGAGATCCAGGCCCTACTGGAAGCCTCCTGGGACTAGGACCAGATAACTCCACAGCAGCTTTATGGGGGGAGGGGGGGGCGAGGGGAGGTGGGTAGGAGCATCTTCCCAGAGTCACACAAACACTGAGAGTCAAAGTCAGGATTTGACCCCAAGCTTGTCAGACTCCAGGCTCTTTGCCCTGTCCCTGGAACTTTCTTTTTGATGACATAAAGAAGACAAAAGACCTTTGCCAAAATATAGTCAAGTTGGGCTTGAGGACAAATTAAATATTTAGAACTCACATAACCTAGTGAACAGTGAGCCCGCTGTGTGGGCTCTGCTCTCAGAAAGTCCATGTATCCCACCTCAAACGTTCTATGCTGGTAACTTCTTTTTCCATAGTTGAAAAGTGATCCCACGGCTGCTGAACATTGACTAGAGACAGTTATTATTGTTCATTTCTATAACTTAGTGATTTCATTAAGTTCTTCTGTTTTAGAAACACTAAGAACGTTGAGTAAAAACGACATGTCTAGGATTTGCTTCAAATAATTAGGAAGGGGTAGGAATGAAGGTTAAAGCTAGGTAATGTGTATGCGGGTTTATGAAATTATTCACTCCATTTTATAGTTTTTCCATAATAAAATTTTTTCAAGTGATTATGTTTTTTAAATTCTATGATAATTCCATAAATTCAACAAACAAGGTGTGAAGACTCAGAGATTAAGAGGAAGAGAGAAGGGGGGGGCAACGAGGGACAGGCATGGGGAGGGTAATCCACTGAGATACTTAACCATAAAAAAAAAAAATTCTACTTCACCCAGACTTTGGAGTCATCTCAGGTTCCAAATTATTGGGTCTCAAAACTAATGAGGTTTTCCTTTCCTACTGGTGTTTTACTGGCAAGAGTCCAGGCCTTGTGAGGGGGAAGGCAGGAAATACAGGCCTGGGTCCGACAGAGGGAGGACCCTTCTCAGAAGGGGGACTGGCCTTGGAGGGCAGAACGTACACAGGGAAGAGTGAAAGGAGGCGGAACATCGGAACCCTGGGGAAGGTTTTTTCCAATCTTCTGCAAACCCGTTCCTTCCTCCTTCCACCCCTATAGCCAGAGGGGAGGGTGCCTTAATCTTCAATCTCGTAGATGACCCCACCCCTCTCTAGAAGAGGGCGTTCCTTTAAAGCAGGTGGGGCACGGTGGGGAGGCCACAGCAGTGGGTCTAGGAAACCTTGTCAAACTGGGGCCCCAATCCCCAGAGGCCCCCTCTGTGAGTCAAGTCAAACCTGGACTTTCAACTCCAGCAGAGAACTAGGATTAAACAACGGATCTCCAGATTAGAGGCTTCACCTCCCCCTCCCCCAGGTTACGCTTCTCTGACCAGCAGGCTCACTGTGTGGTCTTTGGCAGGTCAA